GTGATTATTTTAATTTTTCTTTTTCAAATTTAGCAACCTCGGACGAGTGGAGCGAAAGAATACTCAGTTGGGACATAGAGACGTATTCTAAGGATCGTCGAAGTGGTTTGCCAAAAGGTTCGAACGCTCGTGATATTCTACTAATGTTAGTCGCTACGTGCTGCGTCGGAGGCTCAATAATTGTAACGTATGTCTTCGTTTCTACCGACTACAAGGCGAATCTTACGCGACACTTTGAGGAGAGTTTGTCCGAACTTTTATACACATCTATTAACGATAGAAAATTGATATACAATATCTCGACACAGAGTGGAGTCATTGAGAATTTTATAAAATTAATTCATGCCTTTGGCCCGACCTCCATCGTGTCTTTCAACGGTTCCGGTTACGATACTCCATTTTTAAAAGAGAAAGCTAGACTTCTCGGTATTGCTGACCTAATTGAGACAAAATATTTTTCAACAAATGTATTCGGCCTCGAACGCAGATACGATTTGTCATATCCACCCGCGAGTACCATAGATGTATTTTTGGAATTGAAAAATATAGCACAATCTGACTTTCGCGAGGAAAGTATCGACGAACAATCTAGTTACAGTCTGGATTTTTTTGCGAAAAAATATCTTGGTAAAACAAAAATCAATCTAGAAAATGGGATTCTCGAGAGCACACACTTGGCGGCAATGCTGCTGGGTTACGCCGAGAGCGGAGAAACCGAGGACATTGCGAATCTTAGATTGTATTTCTTAAAATTAATTCAATATTGCATAACGGATACAGAGCTACCGTTGGAACTGGCGCAACACTTTTCGATTCTTCAAACGAAACGCGGTATCGCGGAATGCATGCATTGCCCAATGAACGCCGTTTTCGCCGGCGGTATAACACAGCAATTACCGTATGCGCTCTCCCGTGTGGAAATTTGTCTGAGGAAAACTAGTTTGGTCCTAGCGCCTATCCAGTTTTCCTAGTTTAGTTTTCCTAAACAGAAGCTAGACAATTTTGCTTCTTTATGTTCTGGCT